TGCGGGTGGGGGAGGGCATTGGGGTGGGATGAGATGCACGTTGCGGTGATGGGCAGGAAAAGCATTGCTACACGACAGCCCATATTGAAAGGTACAGAGTCCTGGACCTTTGTCTTTATATATAATGTATGTATGTATATATCCAGTTAACCACATCTTACTGGATGTCTGTCGGAGGCTTCGCAGCCCTCTCTCTCATGCTTCTTCCCATTTTTTTAGTTGTACTAATATAGTAGCAGCCATTAAAGACTGCGGGAGCTGTTGTGAGATTATAATAGAAGTATTATATTCTTCTGCTGGACAGTATTAAATAGAGCAATACATAGAGTTATCTGCTAGATTGCAGTACTAATAGTAGTGACTTAGTGACTTGTATTAATATTATGATTTATTTTCACAATAATGATGCGGAAGTGGTTCATTATTTTGAATTAATGCACTTTACCAATAAAAGAAACAGAAATGGAAGCCAATGCAGAGAACTAAGTGCATTATTTAAAGGTGCAGTATATAATTGTCATTTAAAAAAAACAACAACGTACAGACGTATTTATTTAAATTAATTTATAATTATTTAAAATATGCAAAAAAAATTTTGTTTGTCTAAAAACACTTCCATGCTGTCATCTCCTGGGGAAGCACAAAGCACAGCTCCCAAAGCTTCTGCACTGAGCCACTCACCCCTCAAAGTACAGCACAGCATGCCTTCAGTCTACCGCAAGGGAAGGTGACCAATGTTTCTGATTGCAAAGCATTGGCACCCGCCAAGCCAACGGCCATAGACCGAACGGGTCTCTGAAGGGGAGGAAGCCGAAGTAGGGGTTGGGTGACCCCCTCCCTTCTAGTTGGGCATCAGGTTTTTAAGCATTTCATCATCTTCACAAGACTGGGCCCAAAGGTTTGGTGCCGTGCTGATTTCACAAAACCCTGGGAATTAAACCTGTAATTCATGTTGCAATTAATTATCCTGTCCTGTTAACTCCCCATTGGCCAGTACCCTAAATATTCCCTGCTGCACCCGATTATCAATGACTTTATCTTAATTAGTTACCAGTGGTGCAGCTCATTAAGTTAGGCTGTTAGGATGCCCTGGTCCCAATATATCCATCCATTCAAATGCTGATGTATTACAAGATTTTTCTGCAGTATCAGCACCACTTGTGAGCAACTGGATTGCTCCTGTAGCCCTTCCTTCGAATTTTAAAGGAGGCTTGGCAGAAAAAGCAGCGCCATTGGGTACCAAACTTTGTCCAGGGCTATCATAAATCACAGGGTTGGGAGGGACCTCAGGAGGTCACATCTAGTCCAACCCCCTGCTCCAAGCAACAACATCATCATCCCAGCCATGGCTTTGTCTACCCAGGTCTTAAACACCTCCAAGGATGGAGATGCCACAACCTGTCTGGGTAACCTGTGCCAGTGTTTTACTACCCTCCTAGTAAGAAAGTGTTTCCTAATATCTAACCTAAACTTTGCCTAAATGATCCTTTTGCATGTGTGCTCAACAAGATAGCGTTATGCATCAGAGTCTAGAAATGAGCCTGAGCCAGTGTCCATCCAGGTGCCTCAGTAACATTTTAGATGCAGCGTGTGCTTGAATGTGCTGGTGCCTTGCAATTACACTGAGGGGTCAATTCAAAAAGGGAAAATAATAATAATTGCTGCTTCTGTTCTTGACCCTCTCTCGAATGTTGATCACTTGAACTGAAACATTTCTAGGTTGCTAGTGGACAGCGCTTTGAGTGCAGCCGGTTTCACTGTTGCCTCCGAATAGCCAGCCACCTTCCTCTAGTGAGCGTGAAGACCTTTCGCAAAGCAATAGAGTAGAGAAAATTTTCAATGAAAAGAAAAGAAAGATTGTACAAGCTAGAATTGGCAGGTGATTTGGGGGAAGATAGCATTTTAGCTTGTTTTATACAAAATTTAAAGAGAGTTAATGTCCCTCTTAAGTTTTTTGGGTTGGGTTTTTTTTGCTTGTTTAGGGGTTTTTTTGTTTTTTAACCAAAACTGACACTGTGACCAAGAACAATATTTAAATGTAATATGCACCTCACTTTTTTTTCTAACATGCTACCAAAATCAATAGTAGTGTTGTGAATAAAAGAAAAACTTTTATTTTTAAAGTAAATTAAGAAAAACAATGGACAGCTACTGAAGAAACATTTTGTGAAATCAAAGGGTGTCCTCTAGTGGAAGAAGAAGCTGGTGCTGCTGCTCTTTTCGGGTAATAGGTGGCTTTGATCAGCCAGCTGTGCTTTCCAAGGGTAAAACCTTGGAACTGAAACCGCCAAAATCCCAAGTACAGTTCAATCCTATCAATTTGGAAATGTGAAATGATTTGGGCTTTGCTGTATACTGCAACTTTAATAATAATGAGCACTTCTGAGTTCGTTATTGAGGTTTATATAATGCCTGAAAACTTCAATTCCCATTTTTCCCTTTTGTCCTCCAAAAAACCTCCTTTTTCTCCCTTAGAATAATGATGATGAAACAGGTAACTCTTAAGCTTTTCTTGCATGAAGGCAATTTGTATCAATTGGCTAGATAGATCTTCATGGCTGTGTCTCATTGCAATGTACCTGGCAGCACCAAGCTCCATGCAGATGGCTGGCAGCCTGCACTGCCCGATGCCTGACTCGTACGCGCTGACTGTAAGTCCATTTAAAACAAAAAAGAAAAACAAAAACAAAAAAAAAAGGGTGCCATAATTATTCTGTATTTCCTATCATTCAAATTAAGGGCTTAAATTGCTCAGCCTAACCCGAAAGATTCGTTCCATAGCAGTACTGTAAATCTTGACGAAGGCATTATATAATTGTGTTTTAATCACTTTCAGATCTTAGTGCAGCATATTTTATTGTAATATATATCCATTGCTTTCCTCATTTAAAAAAAAAAATTACCGCTTTTTTATCACTTACGAGAAACAAGGGAAATTGATAAAGCATTCATTATTTTCATATTACTAGTATTAACAGAGTAGAACTAGTACTATTTAATTTTAGATCTCTGTAGGTAGCTTGTTAAGAATTCATAATTTCCTGTGTTGTACCTTACTAAGTTATCGTTAGTCTTTTTTTCCAAATACTCTGCATTCTCAAGAAAAAAAAATCCAATGAGTGGATAAGTGCAATATTCATAGAATAAACAGGCCCCTCATTCAGGACGTGGCGTGGAGCACACAGTGTGAAGTAGCTGTAATTTCTATAGTCATGCACTCTTAGGAAAGGAAAGGGGTTTAGTTGTGAGGAAACGGGATTTGTGAGTATACGGTGGTCTGTCTGTCTCTGTCTGTCTAAGCCAAACATTTCCTGTATTAGCAAAAGGGCGAGGTTTATACATGCACTTTGCAAGAATCACAATGGAATATGCAGGAGCATTTTTAAGCACATGCGATTCTTGAATGACCCTTTTAAAACACATTATCGGTCTCTCCTGTGCCTAATTCTTCCTCTTTCTCTGGTATATGACTTTTTTCAGCAAATTCCTCTTGTTAAAAACTGGAAGCGTGATGGAAATTTAGAAGGGGGTGGGAATCCCTGGTGCCAACCCTGATTTCAGCACCATTCAGTCCTCTCTGTTTATAAAAATCAAAAAAAAAAAAAAGCAAAAAGCCTGTTTCATTTTTGGCTTCCGAAGAGATCTCTTCTCACGCACAAGATTGCACGTTGGGATTGTTGCATTTGAAACATGGAGGTTTGCCATCGGGTTCCATGTTTCTGGCATGCAAAAAACAATCTTTATCCAGATTTGATGTTTTGGTTTTGAAATGTGGATGCTCTTAGATCTGACCTTTCCGAGAGAGAGAGAAATGTTAAGCCCCAGAGGTCGATTTTCAGGTGGTGCGCAAACTTGCTGTCCCCCAAAACAGCGCTGTCATCTTCAATGAAGCTGCAAAATTTGCCGTCCTTGTAGAATGTGAAAAATTGGATTTTGTGGCCCTCAGATGTCATTGAACAGAGTTTGTGCTGTCCTGGTTAAATATCTTTGTACAAGTTTTCCTCAGTTTTATTTTTCCCCTCTACTAGTTGTTACTTAGTGTTTCAAACCTTATGAAGATGTGGGTGCTTTTGTATTTTAATAGGACAACTGAACTCAGCAGATATCTTTTACTTGTTCCAAATTCCAGCACGTATCCCCTTCTTCTTTCAGGACAGGAACTAATATCCTTAACAAACCAACCTCATTTCAGTTCTTAGGAAGCAGACCTTTCACATTGTGAAAGACCTTTAACTCCCTGGAGTTAAATCAAGTTAAAACTAGTATAGAGAGTCAGGCCTGTAAAGCACGTAGCAGTAACCTAACTCCGCTGTTGGTTTGTGGGGGGAGAGCTTGAGTCTAGGTGTCCTCCCATAAGTCTGCAAAGTGAAAATGAGACCAACTCTAAAAGAGCACCTAGCAGGAGATGCCATGATTTCATTTACTGCTGGTCTCATTTATAATTAACATTGAAATATCAACTGGAGTGCTGCTGCTATTAGCCAACGTCTCACCCTGGAAATTTGGGAAGCAGAGGACGGATGGAAAGGTGCTGCCTATAAGCCTAGCATTTCACAGGTACAGATGGCACCATCTGAAGGCCAGTTGCAGGTGTGCAAGTAATGCTTTGCTTCAGGCATATTCGGCCCACCCAGCAATGCCTGGAGAGTTTGTCTTCCCTTTGTGCTCCAGGGTATGTGTTCGTGTGTCTCCATTCATCTGGAAATCTCAGCGGTCATTGTTCTTTGTATTATTTTAATTGTAATGTCCAAATCAAGTACTGTATGCTGGGCACGGTCCAGAGCCCTGTGCAGCTTATGGGAGTCACTCCGTTGACTTCCGTGGGCTTTGGACCAAGCCCGTCGGTCGCTGTGGCTCAGCCTCCTCGGCCTCGACTAGTAACCAAATACAGAGGCTTCTGTAGAACAGTTGTCCATCAGGGTACAAGTTGGATCCCTTTCTTTTTTGGGGGGGGGGGGCTTATGTAAATTTTGTGTGTGTGTGTGTGTTGGGAGGGGGAGAGGAGTCGTTTTCATAGATCTGCTTGTTCTAGGGGCCAAGTTCTGCAGTTCCTATGGGAGGAAAAACTCCCAGTGAAACCAACCAACTGGTTTCCTGTAAGGCCAGGCCCTGCAAGGGCACAAGTAGGACAAATTAGTCTCTTCTGTGGTAGGTTAGCAGGGCTGGGCTGGTCCCACACAGTGTGTCCTGAGGTCATTCGTGCATTCAGGTAGTTTAACTGTAGCTGGAGAGTGCAATTAGCAATGAAATAAAATAAATTTGGTTAAACCTTCACACTGGCGTTCGACAGGTCTGTCCTTGTGCAGCACAAGCCACTACTGTCCTGAGTCGAGACTCCTGTTTGTTACTGAATCAAAATGAAAGGGGGGGGGGGGAGAAAATCCAGTTAAGAGATGGAAGATGTAACTGGATAACAGTATAGATGCAGGAGGGGATGGATAAAGATAAAATATTGATCAAGGATGTTTCTTCTAAAGGCCATAAGTTATTGGGTTTGACACTGCTGGTGCTTTTTATATAGATTTTTTTTTTTTTTTAATACATCGCTGTTCTCCGTTAGACAGTGTGCTCCATCATTGCCAAATGTTCGGTTTCGCACATGATACAGCATGACAATCTGTGTTGTGAAGGTCGTAATCCATTGAGGTAAGGCAAACGTGTTACACATTTATTTTAAGCAAGGTGTCGTGTGTATCTGGGAGTATAGGCACTATCAAGGTTCATCAAGAGTCAAAACTGGCATGAAAATCTGTTCTGGATGCGTGTCCTTTTAAGCAGGGAGTTGAGTGTCCTTAGCAAGCTCACTGTTTGCTCTGACACTGCCAGAGAAAATACAAGGACGGCATTTGGTTACGGAGATAGTTCCTCTAGATCCCCTCCCCATCGGAGGGTGTTGAAAAACCATTGTTGGTCGGGGGATATTATTCTGTTGTATTTTGGGTTTTTGTGGGGGTTTGGTTTTTAAAAAAAAACAAAACCTCTTAGACTTTAAAAGTAAATGTTACAAGCATTTGGTTCCAGGGTCTGCAAAATGTCATTGGTTGTAAGCCACCGATTTGGAAAGATCAGCATGATACGTACGTTATATGTCACCCTTTACTATGCAAGCAGTTACATTCTGGTTTGAAAACTTTTCTTGAGCAATCCAAAATAGCTGCACCTTGGCCCCGAATGTGAGCATATCATATTCTGAATCTAGGCCCCATCATATTTAAGTTGGGCCATGAAACTGCCCGAACAAGCAGAACTCAAGTTGTTTGAATAACTGCAGTCAAATAGGATAGGTAGAAAAGGTAAATACAAGAAAAAAAATTAAAATAGTTTTAAAAGCACAGGATGCTGTCGCAAATCATTGATTTCCAGTGGTGTCCATTGTTAAATAACAAACAGACTGGACAAAGTTACTAACTTTCTAGGATCCAGAATTTCTCAGTCTTACTGGACACGCATCTTGGAGAGGGAGAAAATTGAATTGCTCAGGTTGAGTTTGAACATGGGGACTGCTTGCAGAAGCACCATCTGTGTCTCATCACACTTGCTCCTTTTGTTCAGGGAACCCAGATTTGTGTTGTGCACGATCAGTAGACGGCGCAGAACATTGCTGCAGTCGCATTGTTTGTGCTGATGCCACCATCAAAGTGCTCTGCTAGTTCATTGCTTGTCACTTGTCAAAATGGCGTACCCTTATTTGAAAACTGATTGCAAATAGCTTTCCTGTTCGCTACCCTGGGAGCCAGGGTTTGGAAAGGATGAAATGTAATCCCCCTATTTATATCAGGACTACGATATCAAAGTTGGTATCTTTTATAAAGAAGTCTCTCCTGCAGCTTGATGGCTTGCTTTTACTGACCTTGAAAATGGGGCCTGAATTCTCAAATGTGGGTGCCTAACAGTTTCTAAATCCTTTTACTTTCAGGGTTATTTAGCACCCAGTGTCCTGATTTTGAAAATCGGTTAGAGGATGATTTTGAGGTTTAAAAAAAATTTAGCATGCCAATTCAGGTGCTCCAGTATCTGGATGGAGTAAGGCTTGACTTCAGACATGGAAGTGGGCCTGTGGACTTCAGCAGGGGATAGGCATGCAATAAATGTTAACAGGTCTCATTGGGTTGAGGCCAAAGTCTGTCCAGGTTTTAAAATTTGATCCTTGCTATAAAGCCCGAAGTGCCCGAGTATTGGCTGGGCGGCGTCCTACTATTGGTGTTGTCAGTTGCTGACGCTCTTAACGTGACCGTCAGCATTGGCTGCTGTTCTCATGACCGTGCGTTGATCTAGTTTTTCATTTCCAAGGGTTAGAGGGTGGGAACGTAACTGTCCTAGAGAGCGAGCGAGTGGCTTGGGGGAGAACGTTGGTGTCCAGAGTAGAGAAAAGTGTGGCTGGTCCTGGTGTGTGTGTGGTAGAGCCGATGTATGTATTTATTATTGCTTGGAGAGGCGTTTTCTGGAAGCTGATATGGTTTCTGTTGCAGCCTAACGGGGGAAGGAAGAATGGAGAGTCTTGAGTTGAGAGGATATAGGCGGGAGTCGATTCAGTTTGTTCTGGGAGAGGTGAAACAAAACAACGATGGTCTTTACTGCTCATTGCTGAGGTAGGAAGGAAATGAATGGGGCAGGGGTGGAGGGAAATCGGGAAAGCTTTCTTCTGATACCAGCTTTGGGCCACATTCACCGCTAGCCTGCAGTGCCTTGATGTCGATGTAATTACCCTTGCTAGCAAATCATTCGTTGTGCAAATATTTGATCTTTTAGTCCCAAAATTTGATCCTAATGGAACAGGCGGGTGTTTTTGCTGCTGTTGGTGGAATCAGCACTTACCTAATAGCAAGTGTGGAGCAAGACACAGAAAGAGTGACTGCAGGCAATAGACTTACTTATCTCTTGCTGGAGATG